TTTACAGTGTGAATATTGTTTGCAAGTAGAGGAGAAAATCTGGAAACTAAATATTTGGCCAAAGGATATGAAGCAGTACCTATGTTGGAAACAATTGGTCGAAAAGGAATACCGGTTTTGTGCACTTTTGGAAGAGCATAAAGTCTAGCGCAATTAGTAATAGGTGGAATAAGTGATTTCTTCAACTGAGTTGGCAGAATGTGGGAAGATTTAATGGCACTTTTTACTTTCGTGAGGTCCGAAGTTGAAGGATCTTTAGGGATCGAGCAGTATGGGCCTTCATTTATTACAGAGACTCCAGTAATATATGTGTGTTTGTCCATAACAACGATCTGTCTGCCCTTATCAGCTTTAGAGATAATGATATTAGTATCAGATTGAATTTCACGTAAGATCTCATTTTCCTTTTTGCTAAGATTCGAACCCAAAGTTTTGTTGTTAAAATTAACGTTATGAGTAATTAGGTGGCGGATTGTATCCTTCTGCATTTCCGAAATTTTGGAGAATTTAAAGGCTTTCTCTATAGGGGCGATGATTTGAGGAATTGAAGGTTTGGATGTCTTTGAAAAGTTGAAATTATATTTTAATACTTTTAACTGATCGTCCGAAAGATTCCTATTGGAGATATTAACGATGGGGTAAACGTTTACAGTGGGAAGATCAGCTAGATAGTTGGGACTATCCGACTGGTGTGTGAGTTAAAGGAATTTAGAAATAAGCACATTTTTATGCCGTTGACAAACGGTCTAATAATTTTTTTGCATCTTTCAAATCAGATAATGGTGTTTCAGTGAGTTCACTAATTTTAACACTTTTACATTTTTAACAATATTTTGATTACTATATACGGAGCGTATTCTTAGGCCGCCGCCTTCGACATGAACAAACTTTATTCTCTTACAACTAAGTGAGCAACAGCGCCCTCTAGCCTTTCTCTTCAAATTACACAACACTCCCAACCTAGGTGTTCAAAGGGTGAATTCACCATCGAAGGATTAATAGGATTTCTCCCCTATTAATAAAATTCACCCTTCGATTCTAAAAGATTCACCCTTCGATCCTTTCTCCCCTATTAATAAAATTCACCCTTCAATTCTAAAAGATTGCGTTTCTGTCTTGAATTCTTGGGGAATTTATAGTATATCGTGTCAGTGTGGTTTAAGATATATCGGCCAAATGAAAAGAGCGTTGAAGTTTCGTATCAAGGAACATGAATCTTATGTCAGAAAAGGCGAAATTAACAAGTCTTCAATAGCGTATCATAGTTGGACTTTTAACCATAATTTTGATTTTAGATCTGCAAAAATTATCCAAAAGGCTTCTTCCATATGTGAATTGGATTTTCTTGAGGCTTTTCACATTCACAAAGATTTAGCAGGTTTAGTTAATGATTTGAAGTCCAATCCAGTCCTTCCTAATGCCTTTAAAATTCCACTATCTTAATTCAGTTATTTTAGCCGATAGATGACGTTACCTCCTCGCGTTTGGTACTACCAGAGGGTATAAAAATCCGCTCAGTGGTTGCTTTCCGTTATTTGAAGTTCAGATTTTGAGCGTAAGGTGCATTTGCCCCTCGCTCCCTATTTTAACTTCGCTAATTTTTTCATGCTCGATCAGATAGCCTGGCTCAGTAAAAGTAGGCGGCCAGTGCAACTCTGATTAAAAATCTAGTTATAACCACTTGCAGTGCTGATAAGGACCACGTGTTTCTGTGACTCCTTGTCCTTTATTTTCTTCTTTCTAGGTAGTTCTTTCTCCTGATGAGGAGGGACCTTTAGCTGCCCTCGAAATCGATTGAGTGTTTCATTATACCTACGCTAAATACAAGGTTGTTTTTACGATTTTGATTGTCACATTAGCGTGTTTTTCTTCTAGTCTAGTTTGTGCTATCAACAGGCATTTTCGAGAATATTTTACTGTTTATTGTTTTACCACGTGCACCATTTTATTTACTTCTTTCCACGTGGCCATTAGTTTTTCGGATTTGGTTTATGCTATCAACTGGCATTTTCGAGGAAATTCTATTTTTTTATCGGTTTACCACGTGCATGATTTTGACTTTCGTTGCTTCTTTCCACGTGGCTATTGGTTTTCAGTATTGGATGTTTCTCTGCTTTTGGAATGTTTTTGTCATATGTTGATGAAAATTGTCTTCATTATTTATTGGTGTTTTTTCATGTTATAAGTAATTACTTGTTTGGACTTTTGGAATTATATTTCTTTTGTTCTCTTGTTTCTTGCTTGTGCCCTTTTCACAATATGTCCATTGACAGGAACCGATTTTGTAAGTTACGCCTTAAGCGTACGAAATTCTTGAATCATCTACAGTTTCTACTTAAATGCAAACATCAAAATATCATTCTCATTCCCAAATTTATGCATGTGAAATGTAGCCTTAAAGCTTCCGTTAACGTTTCAAAAATTTTGCATAAATTCAAATTGGCACTTCTTCGTCACATTATAAGGGACACACGCAAACGTTTATCTAAAATTGAATTTGAATTATATTACCTCCATTTAAAAATTGCTAATTCCACTGAAAATTTTTCCTCATTTGAACATACATCCTGGTCTAGAACCGATACCGTTTGTCAACGGCATAAAAATGTGCTTTATTTCTAAATTCCTTAAACTCACACACCAGTCGGATAGTCCCAACTATCTAGCTGATCTTCCCACTGTAAACGTTTACCCCATCGTTAATATCTCCAATAGGAATCTTTCGGACGATCAGTTAAAAGTATTAAAATATAATTTCAACTTTTCAAAGACATCCAAACCTTCAATTCCTCAAATCATCGCCCCTATAGAGAAAGCCTTTAAATTCTCCAAAATTTCGGAAATGCAGAAGGATACAATCCGCCACCTAATTACTCATAACGTTAATTTTAACAACAAAACTTTGGGTTCGAATCTTAGCAAAAAGGAAAATGAGATCTTACGTGAAATTCAATCTGATACTAATATCATTATCTCTAAAGCTGATAAGGGCGGACAGATCGTTGTTATGGACAAACACACATATATTACTGGAGTCTCTGTAATAAATGAAGGCCCATACTGCTCGATCCCTAAAGATCCTTCAACTTCGGACCTCACGAAAGTAAAAAGTGCCATTAAATCTTCCCACATTCTGCCAACTCAGTTGAAGAAATCACTTATTCCACCTATTACTAATTGCGCTAGACTTTATGCTCTTCCAAAAGTGCACAAAACCGGTATTCCTTTTCGACCAATTGTTTCCAACATAGGTACTGCTTCATATCCTTTGGCCAAATATTTAGTTTCCAGATTTTCTCCTCTACTTGCAAACAATATTCACACTGTAAAAAATTCTGTTGAAGTCATTGATAAACTTAAAAATATTTCTCCACTTCGTTCCATTATGGTTTCATTTGATGTCAAACACTGTTTACTAATGTTCCGGTCGAAGGAGCACTAAATTGTCTTGAAACTAGGCTTCGGGAATTTCACTTCACACATACTGAAATTAATGAGTTGGTTTCGCTTACTAAAGTTTCTCTGAGTCAAACCCACTTTGTTTTCCAAAATGCATATTTTCGTCAAGTTGAAGGATTGGCTATGGGTAATCCTCTCAGTCCGGTACTTGCTGACATTTATATGAACTATTTTGAGATGAAATTATTTGATAAACTATCTTTTCGCATTTGGATTCGGTATGTTGACGACACTTTCGCACTTTTTGACGGTTATAAAGAGGATTTATCCGAGATTCTATCTATTATGAATTCAATTGATCCAGCCATCCAATTCACTCTTGAAATTGAATCCAACAATTCCCTCCCCTTCCTCGATATTCTTATAATCCGCAATGAAACTGATTTTAGCACCACTGTGTACCGTAAACCCTTTGCAGTTTGTTTACCACCCCATGCCAAGTCATGCCACCCTGTTAAGCAAAAAATGGCTTCTTTTTACTATTATGTATTCCGCGCGCTTAAAGTTTGTTCCTCTGAATCTTTGCTTACCAATGAACTTAATTATTTGAGAGCAGTTGCGATTGACCGTGGATTTTCTCCCGTGATTATTGATAAAGCCGTTAAAAATTTTTCAGATTCCCATCAAAGAAGACCTTCCACTGTTAGAAATAATATTAATGACCTTGTCGTGCTTCCATTTTATCCTTCTGTTAGCTATAAAATTGCACGGATTCTCCAGAAATTCAATTTTCAAGTCGGTTTCTCCTCTATTAATAAAATTCACCCTTCGTTTCTAAAAGATTGCGTTTCTGTCTTGAATTCTTGGGGAATTTATAGTATATCGTGTCAGTGTGGTTTAAGATATATCGGCGAAACGAAAGAGCGTTGAAGTTTCGTATCGGGGAACATGAATCTTATGTCAGAAAAGGCGAAATTAACAAGTCTTCAATAGCGTATCATAGTTGGATTTTTAACCATAATCTTGATTTTGGATCTGCAAAAATTATCCAAAAGGCTTCTTCCATAGGTGAATTGGATTTTCTTGAGGCTTTTCACGTTCACAAAGATTTAGCAGGTTTAGTTAATGATTTGAAGTCCAATCCAGTCCTTCCTAATGCCTTTAAAATTCCACTATCTTAATTCAGTTATTTTTGCCGATAGATGGCATTACCTCCTCGCGTTTGGTACTACCAGAGGGTATAAAAATCTGTTCAGTGGTTGCTTTCCATTATTTGAAGTTCAGATTTTGAGCATAAGGTGCATTTGCCCCTCACTCCCTATTTTAACTTCGCTAATTTTTTCTTGCTCGATCAGATAGCCTGGCTCAGTAAAAGTAGGCGGCCAGTGCAACTCTGATTAAAAATCTAGTTATAACCATGTGCAGTGCTGATAAGGACTACGTGTTTCTGTGACTCCTTCTCCTTTATTTTCTTCTTTCTAGGTAGTTCTTTCTCCTGATGAGGAGGGACCTTTAGCTGCCCTCGAAATCGATTGAGTGTTTCGTTATACTTACGCTAAATAGAAGGTTGTTTTTACGATTTTGATTGTCACATTAGCATGTGTCTCTTCTAGTCTAGAAGAATAATTGTTCCATAAACCATTTCTGAGCCCCAAATCTTCTTTGTATGTTGCTCAGAGACCAAGGAGTACAATTGGAAGGCTCACTGTCTATTGGACTTTATTATGGTACATTAATTCTTGTTTTAGTGAACAATGGAATCTCTCAAGTAATCCATTAGCTGCAGGGTGGTATGGGGAAGTCCAAATTTGATAAACACCAAGAATTTTATTGAGAGTAGTGAACATATGAGACTCAAACTGCCGGCCTTGATTGGTACTGATAGTAGTAGGAACTCCAAATCATGCAATCCAGTGGGTAACAAATGCTTGAGTGACAGTTTCTGCCAAAATATCCCATATAGGTATTGCTTCTGGCCATCAGAAAAATCTGTTGTTAAGGGTAAAAAGTAGAAGTATCCTTCTGAAGGCAGTAAAGGTCTGACTATATCCAGATGCACTTGTTCAAAACGTTGAATGGGTACAGCAAACAACTGCAATGGGTTGTGAGTATGCAGTGGGACTTTGGAATTCTGGCAGTCCAAGCAACACAATCCTTTGAGACGAAAGGCTATACAAAACGAGAGAGAATAAGTCTTTTTGTTGAACGTATAACTGGATGAGAAAGTCAATGAAGAGAATCAAACAATCCTTTCACAATTCATTAGGAACAAAAAGGATGAATCTTGTCACCACTAACATGGCAGTATGTATTTAAACCAGAGAAAAGCTCCATCTTTTGTAGTTTTAATGAGCTACATTTTGTAGACAGTTACTGACTCGGTTCAAAATCATTCTGTTGAGACTCGGCAATCTTTGCAAAACTTATATCCAGCTCACTGTTATCAGTAATTTGTGACAATGCATCTGCCACAATATTTTCTCGTCCAAGAATGTGCCGTGTGTCAGTACTGAATTGGGCATTATAATTCATACGTCTTATGTGTGTGGGGGGGGGATCAGAATCTAATTTTTTCCTAAATAAAAATGTTAGATCTGTGTATATTGTAAAATATCGTCCCTTGAGATTGTGTTGAAAGTGCTTTATAGCACAATAGATTGCGAGTAACTCTCTATTATATGTGCTGTACTTAGTTTTAGTTGGAGTTAGTTTCCGGGGAAAAAAGCTAGTGGTTGAAAATGTTTATTGCATCATGAATGTGAAACAGGTGCTTTTTCATGCTCGTTTTCATTCACCGAAGCTACAAGGAAATCATTGAAGTAGGGAATACTAAAATCTAAACCAAAAAGTAATTGATGAATAAATCTTTGGAATATTTGACCTGCATTTTGTAAACCAAACAGCATTTTAAGAGACTCAAGTAATCCAAATAGTGTGGTCAAAGCTGTTTTAGACATGTCCTCTGGATTAACGGTAATTTGATGGTACATCCTAGCCAAATCGAGTATTGAGAAAATATTTTTTCAAAAAATACCTGTGTGCAATCTTGAATATGTGATACAGGATACTGGTCAGGAATAGTCACAACATTCAGGTAGTGATAATCACTGCAAGGGCAGCAATCACCATTAGCTTTATGGACCATGTAAAGAGGGCTGGCCCAAGGGCTTATGGATGACCAAATGATTCCTTGTGACATAAGGAACACAAACTCCTGCTTTGCCTCTTGGACTAAATCTGGCGATAAATGGCAAGGTTTAAAAAACAGGGGAGGACCATCTCAATACGATGGAAAATTGTTGAATTCGGACTATTATTGGTTACATAAGAAGGATTAGTGAGTTCGGAATACTCAACTAGTAATCACCAAGAAGTACAGATATAGCCAAATCAAAAGAATTCTCAATCAATTTAGCATGTGAGGACGAATTAGTTTTAGAATTGATAAGGCAATTATTAGTAACATCAACAAGTAATCTGTATCTCTTAAGGAGATCTACACCTATAATTGGCCGATTTACATCTGCAGTGACAAATAATCAAGTAAAGGTATGATGTAAGTTTAAATTCAAAGTAAGGCATTTAGTGCTAAGTGTGGGAGTTTTATTTCCATTGGCAGTAGATAAAACCGAATTCTGTGAAGGCTTAGAACACACAGCATATTTTTTTTGGTAATACCCACACGTCTGCACCAGTATCAATTAAATACTTTATTTTTGAAGAGTGGTTCGCCAAAAGTATACAATTCACCTGGTGGTTGCTATTTTGGCCAGAAAGGAATTGCTCTATTCCTTGCCCTTTTGGCGAAAGGAACATGGAGACTGACATTTCCTTGCGTGTTCCCCAAAATTTACATAATAAAAGCAAAGCTCGTTTGTTCGCTCTTTATAACGGTTGATATGTTCGCATGACCTGTTATACTGGTACGAATGTCGAAAATTATGTTTATTACTGCGAGAATTCTGCCCCAAGGTAGAAGTTAACTTGCTAACCTGTTTAGTCAGCTCTGCTACCTGAAGTTCTAGACGAGTAGTTGCGGTTTCGCTTAGCTCAGGGGTCACAATAGCTATTCACACAAGAATTAGATGCAAGCTCAGTAATCTTACGAGCAACCATAGCCAATCTTCACAATGAGCTGCTAAAAGAGTGAATTATTAGGAAGCCTTGCAAACCACAAAGACCTTAGCAAAAATTCATCTATGGTATCACCTGCCAAAGTGCTCATATGAGTCATTAACTGAGGAGGGCGTTGGTTGCCGAGATCTAAACCTTTCCAAGAGAGTGCGAATTTTTGGTGTTTCGTTTTCGGAATGCACTGAAATCAGCCTTTCTTTTAGAGCATTATATTTTCCAGTAGCAGGAGGTTTTAAAATATCGCCAACAGAATTAAGTATATCAAGAGCCCACAGTGGGAATGACATGATTAAATTTTGTTAAATCAGAAGTTATGTTGGAAAAGGAAAACTGCGATTCCAGTCTGACAAACCATAGTGCAGGATTTGTTTTCCAAAAAGGTGGTAATTTTACTGAAACATGTGTAGCTGCTGCACCTTTGGCCACAAAGCGGAATTTTCATTATGCGACATTACCAACTTTCTACAACTAAGTATTACAAATATTAATACCAAAACACAGTATAGAAAAAAGTATAGAAAACCTATAACACATCCATATCTATTAGGGATACACACTGGAATAAAAATACATAAAAATTTAAAATATTCACTACATCAAAGAATACCGTATACTTCAATACAAAAGAAAAATCAAATTCTGTGAACCAGTCTTACCAACACTCCAAAACACATGACAAGCTGGGAAGATCCAATATCTGCACTGGCACACTGGGTTTTACTGGAATAGTCCTGATTTGCAGGTGCACAATAGAATCCTTTATGCAGATACTGCTGTCATAAAATCTCAATACTCAGCTTCCTTGAGCACCTCACTCTGGCTATTTCTTCTACAGCAATTTTCTTAGGTCAACAAATGTGGTGCATAGTTGCAATGTTCTTCTCGGGTCATCAAATGTGGTGTTTAACTGCCACATGACTCCACACATGTCAGAAACTGCATTTAGAGGAAGTTCGAAAAATTTTGGCAAAACATAAAAATAACTTTATTTTAAATAAAAATGAAAGTAAAATATCAAACGAAACACATTATGAAAAAAGTTCATGCCAAATCACGACCACGGATAAACACGAACAGATGCAAAAGCAGTTATATTTGCAACTACAGTGAATGTGCATGGGTATTGTGCATGAACTTGACTTTGTGCAGTCCAAAATATTAATGTTTTCTAAGTGCAAGGAAAAAATAGAACTTATATCTTTTTCTTACAAAAATTAAACTGTCTTACTGAGAATTAATCCAGTTTTTCATGAAAGCAAAATGAATGTATGATTGTGTTGTGATGTCATGCTTATGCATTACTGGCACTAAATCACATTTTTGGCAACAATGTATATGTTTTAATAGTATTTTGAGCTCTGTAATGGCATTAAAAATCAGTCACTTATTAATTTTTTTGGGGGGTGGATGTTTCTAAAATTCTAAAGTATTCTGGTTAGTTAAATACCAAATAATCTGTCTTTTAATATATAAGAAGAAGTATTGCAGTTTCTTATGAAGTTACAGTTGAGCTAGTTGCAGAATTCAAGTCAACATAAAGGTATATGGAATGCATTATTTAACTAAATTGAGGTTAGAGGGTTACATTAGTAATTTATAGTATCCCAGCAATATATTTACTGTAAAAAAAAAAGGACAAGAAGAGGCTGAAAAATGAAATAATAATATATATGTAGCATATGGGATTATTAAAATTAATTAGCATTTGAAAATTATTATATGATAGTAATAATGCAACAAAATAAATATAGTTTAAAAAATTTCATGTTAACTTGACACACTAAACTAATGTATTGGTATTATGTGGTATTATTAACAGTTAATAAGCAATTGGGAATTAGGTGCTATTATAAATTAATACAGGCAAATACCGAAAATCCTCCGACCTGAAATCCGCGTTGTCTCTCGGAATATAAACATACCGTTTATAGGTTCCGGAAACCACAACATTGAGTACGAAATATCGAAGAAAAAATACTTATCGAATAATGACGTCATAATTACCAAATAATAATGAGTCAAAACGGAAATACCAAATTATTTATATAAAAAAGTTTAAAAAATAAGATAAAATACGATAAGTTTTTTTTCCCTCTAATCTGCATTGAGGTAAAAAAGCAGACGATTCACTCAACTCTTTGTTCACGATTCACGTTTTTTCTGAGCTTTGTTATTTCATTTCATGAGATTGTTTAGTGCTGCCTTTTTTTTTATCCGGATATTTTGTGGGTAAATTAAGAATATTTTTAATTTCAGCCCTTTTTAATACAATCACAGATAAGAAACGCACTTGTGATTTTACTGCTTGCAACGTTGAAAAACGTAAACACGTTGCATCGACGGGAATGCAAAAAGTGAAATTCTACAAAAGATGGAAGCAGGTGCTACTTTTCAATTTATAGCAGAATGGTATGGAATTGCGACACGATTGTGTATGATATACGGGAAAGTAAAGAAAAGCTGTTGAAAATTTACAGCAACAGTGATTCTAACACCGGAATCTGAAACCGAAAATCTTTGCACGAGGCAAAATCAGCAAACCTCGATGCTGTGTACATATAATACAATGAATAATATAATCAATTTATATATGTAATAATTTAATGCATATAATAAATTATTGCAATAATGTATATAATAATTTAATTAAATGTATCTAATACGCCTTATTCATTTTGCATTTTTTGTCCAAATATTATGCTTTATCTTTTTTTTCCTGAAATCCGCAAAATCCTAAAATCTGCACAACCTCTGGTCCCAAGCTTTGTGGATTTCTGGAATTCTACTGTATTTACATAATATAACAAAACAAATAGAATTTTGGAACAATTCACCCATCAAAAGTATTCTCTTGAACTCGCTGCTGGTCGCAATCCACCAACAATAAATCATGAACTTTGGTGAAACGATTGCACTAGAGCATTCAAAATAAATGTGTTGTGAGAAGATTAAAATTTAGGTTTCTAGTTAGTATCAAAGGATGTTCTGAACAAAGATTTGTATCAAAGGATGTTCAGAATAAAGATTTATATTAGTTTTTTAGATGTGCAAATTAATAACTTCTAAGTACTACGAAACATTAGAAATTACTGAAATGCATATCTTTTATATTTAAAACTTATTTTTGTGGGGGGAGTAATGATAATAGTAAAGAAGTCTTTCATTTGTTTGAATAATACTTTTATGGGATGCTTCAGAATATCAGAGTTCAGCAAAGTACAGTTTTCATTGACATATGCATTTTAAATAGAAAAAAAATAAATCTTCCCTCTTCAATACTAAATGATTCTGTTTGTGTTCATATCCTAAATATGCAGGCATTATAAGCAGTCTTTATTTAATAAAGAAGGAGCTGGTTGCATAACGTGAATTGGATTGGAGGTAAGATAGGGTACGTACTCGTGAATGGGTAAGACTGTAATTTCTGTAATTGACAGATTTTGCTGAGTGCATAAGAATTAAGAAATAAAATTAGCGAGTTTTAATAGATTAATTTTAGCCCCTCCCCCCAAAAAAAACAGTTTTTTTTATTCTCTGCACCTTCCTAAAAGGCACCAAACAGGTATTACCAGAATAGGCAACCCATGATGTTGCCAAAATGTGTTTATGGGGCAATAGAGTTATATGTACACCTTTAAAGAGGAGTGCATATTTCTACCTTTTAATTCAATGGTCATTTTTCTAATTATTATTATTATTATTTTTACGATGACTACATCATTTTTTTCCTAAGAAACCGTAATGGGACTGTAGAGTTTGCTGGCTGATGAAAAGAAAGCATTATGTTTCTTCAGAACTATGTTGTTTTGTCCAACAGTAGAGAATGAAAAAAATTTCCATTCTGTAAATATGTGCTTTTAAACGATAAAATTTTATGGATTGAAATATGTGTGCCATGCCGAATTATATTATTATTTAATTATATTATTATTATTAGAGAATTATACAATTCTCTGATTTTTTTAAATCAAAAATGGATTGTTGTGTACATGTGGAGAACAGTGGAATGCTTAGGGCCAAATTTATTATCTTATGTTTAAGTGAAACTGATCACTGTGTACATAAGGAGAACAGAGCTACACACATTATGTGTGCATTTGGTGAATAAGGTAAGTGTTTTATTACAGCTGTTCCCTGCTTTTTAAATCTTACTGATTCATTGCTTTTATGGAATTCTTAATGCAATGCTATTTTCAACATGCCTATTGCATTTTACATATTAACTTGGTGAAAAAATGTACTGAAGAAATTAAAGAAGGCTTTAGAAATCGAAAATGAACTAATTAAAATTGAAAAATTTATTAATAAGTAAAAATGATATAATTTTTTATTCTGAAAAAGGTGTAACTTCTTTCTGATCATCAATCAAACCCTTAAATGAGTCGCCAGCTGTCGGCGATTAATTTATTGCAGTTATAATATGCAAAAGACATTTTAAAAAATAGTGACACATTAAGAATTTCATGAAACAGCACCAATTAAAATAAAATTAAAAGTCCCATTAATAAAATTAAAAATCCAAAAAGCATCGATTGTGAAACACTTACCTTTTGGGGGAAATTGTTCTCTTCATGTACAGTTGTGATCTGTTTTAACTTCAAAAGACATCACGGAATTGCATTGTGATTGCATTGAATGGTTTCGCTGGCAACTTGCCAATACACATACTGTTGTTCTCCCTGTATGCACAGAAATATGTTTTTGCCTAAAAAAACATCCAAAAATGGCACAAATTTGGCGTTGTTCATGCTTTTTCTTCCCTTGTATAGAGTGATCTGCTTTAGCTTAACATGTTGAGCACGGTGCTGGTCCCTAGGGACCGGCAAGTGAACTTTCCGCGTGGCCGGCGTCGGCCCCTGGGGACCGGTACTGGAATTTTCATTTGGCTGGCATCGGTCTGCGGGACCAACAGTATTAAAGTTAAAAAATAAATATAGTCTCAATGAAATGTGATCAAATTTAGTTTTAATGAAATGTATTATAACATTCTAAACAAAAATACAGCTTAGCTTGCTGCCGGCTGAACGGAAAGGACAGCAAATTCGGCGCTGCGCTCAAATTAAATCGGACTTTTATAAATTTTGATTCATAAATTCAATTGTTTTCAAAGTACAGCTTCATGGAATGCTAATTCTTGCATTCTCTTAACTGCCAAGCAAAACACCATATTTCTAAAGCAATGCAGTGCTTTCTTTTTCATCAGTCCTCAAACTCCACAGCCCCATTGCAACTCTTTACAAGAAAAAAATGCACTCGATGGGGGGGGGGAAACAGTTGTGGCCATCAAATTTGAAGATTGAAAGTGTCGCTTGTCTGCTGCACTGGGGTTGCCTGTTTTGGTGACTAGTATGTTGCTTGATGAATATTCAGGGTTAGGCAGATAATCAGGTACCAATGTGTAATTTCCCTTTTTTAACTGATAAAATTAATTATAAAAACTACGTTTGTATGGAATGGAATTTTTATAAAATTTATTGTCAACTGGAAAGATTGCTATCAGTAATTTCTTATTATTTACATATTCCCCTTTATTAAAATTCTCAAATCAAATGAAATTCTCAGAAAATGAGTTATCCTAGAGTGCTTTAGAAATTTGTGTAGTACGAGACTCAGTATTAAAATTCTTTGAAAACATAATTAAAAATGTGTGGATTTATGTAGGGGGTTATATTTTGCACATATTAACTTTGCTTTAAATATTGTCATGAACGTATAGAAGATCTCTTTTTAGTAACGTAGATGAAGATATTTACATTGAAATCTTTTTAGTAACTTAGATGAAGATATTGATATTGAAAGTTTTGAGAAACCTGCTCCATCTCCCTTTGAAAGTATAAAGAATAAGAGTTTAGCCAATGAATCTGAAAGGGGTTTGAGAAGTAATCCTTTGTTTGCTAAAAATGCTAAAGAAGAATTGGAAGAGTTAGATCTGTAAGTAATATTTTAAAGCATTTTTTCTTTAACTGAAAGATAATTTATTTTGAGAAATGAAGTGATATACAGTCAAAAGTCGTTAATTCGGACACCCATAATCCGGAATGATCTATAATCCGGACCTCAAAGCTACAAACTTTCTGCGCATGCGTCGCGTTCACGCCTGCGCACAGGCGTTTACGAGAGCGCGTAAGACCCTTACGGCTGCGAATATGTTTGTGCGCATGCGCGTTTAATGTGTAACGGAGTTATACGCTAAGCTAAAGTTATCTAATTCAGTTAATGTTGCAGATTGCGTTGTTCCTTAATCTTCGAATTGGATCCGGCTTATTATTTTTTGCAGACTGTTAGAGCAATTTTATAAAAGTAAGCTTGAACTTTCGATTATGTCAAATAGAATTTCCGATGTATATTTACTACAAAGCGAAAGTATGTTTTGAAATAGTATGTTCCTCTGCCGCAGAGCAGCGTGAAAATGAAATCTGTTTATCAATTTCACGCTGCTCTGCGGCAGAGGGGGGGGGGGGCAGAAACGTCATTATTAGATTATGATAGATTAGAAAGATTATGTCAAATAGAATTTCCAATATATATTTACTAATATGTAATTTGTATCTACAAAGCGAAAGTATGTTTTGAAATCCGAAATCTGTTTATCAATTTCACGCCACGGATTGGAAGTTGATCTGTCAACACTATCCTTATCTTCAGAGCAGATGTTTTTATTTTATTTGAATTATAATTCCGTACTAAGTTTAGTATTTCATCTCGATGTACTCCGTCTTTGATATGATTTAAATCAAGTTCCTCGTCATTATAATTCGCTTCCGATAGTGAAGAAAGTGACCCAGAGGTTATTGAAAACGAAAACATTTCGATTGACAAATTAGTCGGTATTCTCAACACAGCAATTATAGGACTTGAACAGCGGAACTTTGTAACTAAACAAGAAATTATGTCTGTTTAATAGAATTAAAGAGAAAGTATTATCACATGAAACGAAGCAACTTACATTGAAGGAAATGTTTAATAAAAAGTAAACAAATAAATATTAAGTTTTTTCTTTTTGTAAATTTTGATACCCTTTAGATCATAATTGTTCTTTATTTCATAAATTACGGTTTCATATTTTTAATTTTGTAATTTTTGCATGCCATCTTACCAGATTTAAACTGATGATCTATAATCCGGAAAAATCGATAATCCGGAATCGCCGAAGTCCCGACGAGTCCGGATTAACGACTTTTGACTGTATTAAATTTATTCTTTTGATTTGCGAGGAGTAGCATTAACTTCAGATTTTAATATAAATTTCATGTCGTCTCATTTATATAATAATAAAAGAGTTTGTGTGTAACATAGCATGAAGATGGATAGGTCTAAAGTTTTGAAATTTACCGTGGTGCTTCTCTGGGCAAATGTACACCTTAAAAAATTATTTTTTTAAATTTCAGTTTATTTAATAAAGTTGTTCAAAAATTTTTGGTGCATGTGTAGTTGCTTAAATATATTAATCAGAATTTCACCATTTGAACCACCAGATAAGAGAGGGAGAAAAAGTATTTTAAATAAAGTATTGTGTATCTCTGTTTTTTCCCCTTGCAATAAAAATTGATATGCCAAGATAGTTGACTTGTTTATCTACCATGATATAAGTGTACTGTTCTTTTCAGCACTTTATTTTAATACATGATTTTTTTTTATTACTAGATATAAGATTATGTTTTTTCATCACAGTTATTTTCCTCAAGTTTGCATTTATTGTTCATTTAATTTTGTTAATCTCATATTTTCTTGATTTATTCTGTACTTCTAGTTTTGTGTCAATTATCAGCACAGTTTAAGAATTGCTTCAGAGGTATTCTTTTCACATTTCCATAAGGTCATAAATAAGCCTGTCAGCAGTTATTTAAAAAAATAAACTAAACTTTGGTATAAGAATATTTTTCAGATTCGCCAATTTAATGGCTTTTTTTTGGGGGGGGAGGTGGTGGCTTATGTTAAGTTTTTTAAAGTTCAGTTCTTTCAACAGTATATTATGTACATAACATTATATTCTTTCTCCCTTTCCTGAAGAAAAAATTTTCCATTTAAGCATTCATTTTATTTTGTTAATCTCTTTTTTTCTCTCCTTGTATTTGTACTCGGATTTTATATACACGTCATCAAAATTTTAAGAAGACGAATAAAATAAATTTGCATTAAAATTATTAGTTATGAGCTTTAGTATGTTTGTCTTTGCCATTTTAATAAACATACAGTGGAATTCCCATAATCTGCGAATTCATATACTCCATTCTCAGTTCTGGATGTAGTTAAAGATAATTTTAGTTTTCAAATAATTTAATATGCCTGATTTAGCAGCAATTTTTTTTATATGTATATGCAGATAGTTAAAAAAAAGCATACTATTTTTATAGTATATTTTGACTAAGTAATTGAATCTACTTGAAGTTAGCATTTTCTGCAGTACTTACCTGTTAGCACAATCATCTTAGTGCAATTTGGAAAATTTTACAAAAGGAAGAAACAATGCTTTTTGTTGTAAAAAAGTATTTAGTACATCCAACCTTCCTTCCTGATCACTCACTCACTTCGGAGAAAAGCTGATTTTCAGTTTACAATCGCACTATGAACTGGCATATTTGAAATAGAGTTTCATTGCCTATTCAAATCTTCCAAAAAAAAAAAAAAAAATCGTTTCCTGTAACCATTATTTTTTTCCTAGAGCATCCTTTATACCAGGGCTCATTAAACTAATAAACTTCATACATACACTGAACATTTTCAGACTAGGCATTTCATCTGTTATTTTAAAAGAAGAAAGTTTACTTATTGATGTAAATTCCTAGTTTGTCTACTTTTAGAGCATAAAAAGGGCTGAATCCTTGAAGACTTTGCACAAATCAAGAAGTTATGTACTTATCTGAAGAATGAACACGCATTTTGATGACGTAATACTGGCTAAACCTCTTTCTAAAAGCAGATTACAGTTTATGCTTTAACTGATTTAATATGCAATGTTTATATAGTTATTGTTTGAAATGCATAGCTTCATATTTGAAGGAAGTTTAAGATCTATTCTAATTGAGTTGAAACGTTACGTTTATAATGTTGTGCACGAGATTTTTTAAAATTGTAAATCGACCTTTTTTGTCGGTTCCATGGTTTGTCGGCTAAGCATTTAACACAGCGAGTTAACGCTGAAAAGTGAGTTACAAAGATTTATGAAACAATTAAAATATTGAATGAATGATTTAAAATTTATAAGCGTAACTGCTCAAAAGAAAGAATTATTTGGCTCAAAGAATTCTTTAATCACTTATCATGTATACATTTTTTTTACTTTTTCAATCAATATGTATTATTTCGGTGCTTGCCGAGATATAAATGAAAATTTTAATTTGTACTTTTTTTGCATCTTGGAGAGAAAAAGTGAAAAAAGCATGGTTAGGTGGTATATGGAGGCAATACTAATTTCCAATTCGTACAAATGTCGAATTTGCGAAATGAATAAAATCGTGCAGAAAGAAGTAATTGTGTAGGTAATTTTGAGTAGATGAGTAGGGTTACGTGAGGGGAATGTTAATATCGAACTTCGGATGTTCGGAAGGATTCATGGTTTACTAAGAAAAATTCAATATGTGTGCATTTTGTTAGCTACGTATAATGCGGTACGGAGTGATTTCATACGATCAGAGTTAGGGATGGATAAAATGACTATAACAGAATGCTTTTGCAGGGAAGTATGTACAGAATAATATTTCAAAGAGAATGTGATGTTAGGCAGGGAGGCGTGATTGTAGAAATTGACGAAAGGAAAACTGGTAAGTAAAAATGTCATCTCTAAATCCCTCAGAGTGTGATTTGCAGAGTAACAGCAGCTTTTGCTCCATTTGGCGTTAAACAACACAGGTTTACTGTCTTGGTAACAGAATGTGTTTCGCCACCTGCAATTATACATCCATCCATCCATCCCCATCCCCATCCCCATCCATCTTATTACATGCATATTTTACATTTTAAATTTGTATTTACAAAAAAAAAAAAAAAAAATTCTTTTATAAGTGAGGTTTATTTCTTTTGTTCTGGTAGAATTTGGTATTAATTTGGTTGATCACTTTGAGAAATTCAAGTATTGTTCCTATAGTGATTGTGGAGCAAAGTACTGTATTCCTGCCAAAATATTACTTTTTCTTCCAGTGTAGGCTAATCCCAACTATAAGACAACGAAGAATCATGATTTGTCCATAAAAATCATTGGAATTTGAAATATAAATAAAACACCCCTCCTCCCCCCAAAAAATTGCATACAAAAATGGCAGTGCTGATTGTTAAAACTAAAGAGTTGTTTTTTGCATGGCCCCCTGAAGAATTGTTAATGTGTGTGGTTGGTGCATTCTGGAACTTTGGTGATGCCTGTTAAAGTGCTTGCAGTAATATGAAAGTACATTTTCTATATGCATGTTAGAAATCTTGTTTTATGGAAAACAGGAATCACAAACCTCTAATTTTTTTATTTTAACAAAGTCTTACCTTTAGGTGTATATTCAGGTTTTTTCTAAATTTAATTTTGATTATATATATATTTGTCTGCATGTGTAAAGAAGTTTTTTATTCACAATTTTTTAAACACTTGAGGTCCAACATAATTTTAACTATTTTGTTTTTGTTTTGCCAAGTGAGAAAGCCAGTTTGTCAGTTCCAAATAAGGACAAATTATTAAAGTTAGCATTTATAGTGCTTTCTGTCTTTAAATAATATGGAAAACATAGGGGGGGAGAGTAAAGAACATTAATAAATCCAAAATTTCACTTTGCTTCTTTTTGTTAACTTCTAGTATTGTTATTAATCCAATTTCTCATGCACAGAATATAATGGCAGAATTAGCATAGTTTTTGTTTTTTTAAGAAACCTTAAGGTTTTTTTTGGAAAGTCTTTCTTTATTTGTTAGCCTGGAAAGGCTGTTAGTCTTGAAACACAATTTTGCATCAATT